AGTGTCTATACAGCAGACGTGAATTCTGTGATGTTTTGTTTCTAAGTTTAGCTTCAAGACTGACTGTTAATGTGCTGGGTGTGGCGGCCCACGCCTATAATCCCAGCACTCCAGAGTCGAGGCAGGAGGATTACTGCAAATTCAAGGTTTGCCTGGGCTACCAAGTGAGTTCAAGTTCAGCCTGAACATAGTGAAATCCTGTCTCAAAAAGACCAAAGAAAGAAAAAGGACTACTAATGATTCATTTGACAGAAGTTACACAAGTAGACAGGAGGAGCTGGGGAGATGCCTCAGTGGAATAAGCACTTCCCTGGCAAGAGCAAGGACCTAAGTTCAATCCCCAGTTCTGCCCAAAAAAAAACAAAAACAAAAAAAAAAAACACAAGTAGACAGGAGATCAAATGGTCTGCCCACCATCCAGACCCATGTGGCTGGACTACCACAGTGTGGCAGGGCTCTCGGCAGGGCTGTGTCCTCCACACTCAGAACCACACTGACCTAGCCAGAGAGGGCTCAAAGTCTACAATCTATCAGTGAAAACCCAACACCAAGAAACCACTGGGGAGAATGTTCCAAACACCAACCAAGTCAGAGACGCAGGATGCTGCAGAGGGGCAGGGCAAAACCACCCATTTGAGGGAGCTGGTGAGAGGCCAAGAAACGCAAGGAGGAAACCCAGACATCTGGGGGCTGAGTGAGGGAGCCCAGACAGCCAGGGCCAGAAAACAGACAGCGCCAGGTCCCTTGAAAGAGCATTCTCTCTCCATGTCTTCCAGGAGAATTCTGAAGTAGAAGTGTGTGTGTGTGTGTGTGTGTGTGTGCGCACGCGCACGTGTCTGTGTACATACTGGCCAAGGGGTACAGCTTGCTCATGTTGCTTTACCTTTGGATACAAATGTACCTTGAGGATCTTTTAAAGTGAAATGCAGAAAAACAAGGAGTCTAATCTGTTAAGTTTCTCCTAAACAACCTAAAGGACCTGCAGCGGCCGCTTCCCACCTGCGCCAGCCCACTGCAGGCTGCCTGCCCTCCAGGCTGCCTGAACTCCAGCGCTGAGCAGCGAGCGATGATACCGTGTTTTAGCTCACGCCCTCTGAGCACAGGCTGTGAAGCGCTTCCACCTCTCATTTTAGGAAACGGAAGTGATGTGGAAGCGCCGTTTGCAGAGGATCTGGATGGGAAAGCGAATCCCTGAGCCTCTGGGGGAGTTGTTGGGAGTTTCCAGTTCATTTGTGAAAAAAGTGAGCTTACCAGTTTTTGCAAACACCACACAGCACCCACTCGCAGCTCCAGCTGGCAGTCTTGAGCTCCTCAGTCCCTCCGCCTCGTTTCCAAAGCCAGGAAACCATTCCCAGGGGCTCTGCCACCACCCAGGCCACAGGTGGAACATGCACATCCCAGAAGGTCTCGCAGCCTGGCCTGGCCAGGCCTGTCAAGCCAGCCCACGTGAACCAGAAAAGGACCCATCAAATAAATAAATAAATAAATACATACATACATACATACATACATACATAAAATCTTTTTTTAAAATGTTGGCCAGTAAAAAGAAAAGGACCCATCATTCAGCATCACCATGGGGCCTCTGAGCACCTATCTTCAAAGCTAACTCAGTCTGTGCACCCCCGGGAAGATTTCTGGAGAATGTGATGTGGGTTGAGAGCAGTTCTCAAAGGCTGTGTGTACTAGATCTGCATTTGCTGGAAAAGCTCAGGAATCCCCAGCACAAATGACAGAGGCTGGGAACTCCACCGGGTCCAGCTGAGCCTCCCGAAGGTGCAAGCGCCCAGCATTTGATAAGGCAAAATTCAAAATCCACAAGGAAGCCGGGCTTTCACAGGGCCACCCACAGGAAGGGGTCCTTTCCATGTAGGTGGGGCAGCAGTGACTGAGTGGCCACCTCTCCAGGTGGCAACCTGGCACCGGGGTCCTTCCTACATCTCCATCAGTTTCGCTGCTCCGCAGCACAAGAGCTCTAACACTCTCCACTCCTGCACAAAGTTGTCAACGTGAGCGAGCCTGGGGAGCCACAAGGCCAGCTTCCCCAGCTTGTCCAGTGAAAGCTGCGCCCGGCCTGCTGCGCACATCTTTGGTCAGGCTCCAGGGCCAGCCTCTGGGTCTAGCACTCTGCCCAGAGCGCCTGATCACCACTCTCTCCACAACCCCCATATGCACCTTCAATTCCTGGCGTTAAATCACACCCCTTTTGCCTAGGAAGCCGTCGTGGGTGAGTTACAGCCTAGAGACATTTTGGTAAGTTAAAGCAGACTAAGTTAGTTTATTAGTCATTTTTAGACCTGAAAACCACTATCCAGAACGAGTCAAACAGCAACACGAAATACACCCATATGGAGTTTCCCTCCTACAAAACCCTTCCGAGGAGCCAAGGCAGGCCGCGACCAGGAAGAGTCCATAGGTCCTACCTGTGGCTCCCCAACAGGCCCTGCCCAGCGGCCCTGGGGTTCCCCTCCTTCTGGGTCAACCCTCGGGCAGGCCCTGAGACGTCCAAGGACCCTCGGCCGGGACTGGGGCCCGCTCATCCCATTACAGGCACGAACTTGGCGAAATCGGCCTCAGACTTGTTGGCAAAATACACAAAGCCAAATAAAGGAGAAACTGAGGCGGCGGCGGCCAAGTCCGCACACGGCGCTGCTTTGTCCCGGGGCTGTGGACAATGCCGGCGAAAGTCAGGTGCCCGGGGTCCCCGGACCAGCAGCCTTTCCAGGCCAATCCTCGTGGTCCACGACTGAAGCCGTCTGCAAACAGAGCCCCTCCACACAATGCCAAGCGCGCCGCGCTCAGCGGGGAGTTACGGGCGCCGCCGGGAAAGTCGCCTCCGACTCCTCCGGAGCCACCGGGCGGTGGAACCGCCTGCGCGCCCCGCGAGGGCAGGGACAAGGGAAACTTTGCTTCCGGCGGCGGCGGCGGCGGCGGCGGCGGCGGCTGGAGTCCTGGAAATCCGGCAGGGCGCAGGGCCGGGAGCAGCACAAAAGCGCCTGGGCCGCGCAGGGACCTCCCTCCGGCGAGGTGACAGCAGCTGCGGCCCGATCGTAAATAGTTCCCTCCGCACGCCAAGTTCTGGGCCCGGCATCGCCGCCGCCCACCCTGCGCGCCCCACGCCCGCCCCCGGCTCGGGCTCCACGCGAGCCCCGGCTCCTGGCACCCTGGGTGGGGTTCGGGGGAGGGGATGGGGTGAAGAATCGGGGTGGGAGACCAGAATGGGAGACTGGGATGGGGTCTCCAGAGACCAGGGAGGGGCCAACGGGGGTGCAATGCGCGGCGGGGACCCAGGCCTCGCGCCCCAAGTTCTCGCCCCGCTCACCTCGCCTCGCGGAGCCCCGGGTGCGCGGGTCCCGGCGGCGCCGCCTTTGTCCTTGCTGCTGCTCCACCGGGGACGCTGCGGCCGCCGACTCGGCCCGGGCGCCCCAGCCCCGCGCTCCGCCCAGCGCTCGGCGATCCTGGTTCCTTGCTCC